ATGTAAAACCCAACGCATAGAAAAATAAAACACTGGGAGGCTGCACACTAAAATATTAACATCAGTTAATTCTACATGATGAAGCTCGTTTATATTTTCTTCTTTATATTCTGTATTTTTCACATTTCCAACAACTATAATCAGAGAAAATAGATGTTATTTAAAATCCAGTGAAATGGCTGGAAGGATTTCTCTTGAGCTCTTAAAAAAAAATTCCAGCAGCAGCTCTGAAATAAGAGGTTGCGTATTGCAGTTGGACCTGGGTTCACCGTCCAGCTCCAGAAATAATTAGCAGTGGTCCCTCGGTCAAGATACCTAACTTCTCTCCATTCTGGATTCCTTATCTGTAAATGGGAATAACACCTATCTCACAGAATTACGTGAGATAAAATATCAAGAATGCCCAGGAGAATGTCCCTGGCATGTTCAATAAATCATACATTCAATAAATATTGGTGTCTTCCGTCTCGGAGTAAAGATTGGGCGGGTTGAAAAGGAAGGAGCAAGGACTAGGAGTGAGTCAGTTCAGTTGGCAGAGGTTCACAGCGCCCCAGACCCCTACTCAGATCCCTTCTTGCTCCGGATGCCTAGGAGTTGTTGTTTCCTCCCTAGCACCTCCCCGTCCTGAGCCCGCCTCCCCCTCCTGAGCCCGCCTCCCCCTCCTGAGCCCGCCTCCCCCTCCTGAGCCCGCCTCCCCCCCTGAGCCCTGCCTCCTCTTCTGAGCTCCGCCTCCCCATCCTGAACACCACTTCCCCTTCTGAGCCACACCTCCCCCTCCTGAACCCCACCTCCCCCTCCTGAACCCCACCTCCCCATCCTGAATTCCACCTCTCGTCCAGAGCCCCACCTCCCCTCCTGAGCCCCACCTCCCCCTCCTTAGCCCACCTCCCCGCCTTGAGCCCGCTTCTCCCCCCAGAAACCAGCCTCCGCTGTCTGAGCCCCACCTCCCTGTCCTGAGCCACACCCTCTCCCACATCTGCCTCCTCCCATTACACTAATAGAAACCCATCTTCCTCATCTTGGCCCCATTATCACCCTCGGAGACAAATGGGCTCTATGATGGGAGGCAGCTGGCCAGCTACCGGGTCATTGTTCTGAATGTCACTGAGAGCCTGAAAGGGAGGGGAGCCCGCAGGATCGAAAGTAGGGCTGCAATTACTGGCCTATTCAGTGCCCCAGAATAATACCCTGTCATTAGCTGGCAGCAGGGAGGAGATCGGTAGGGGCAACGACCACGGGGCGATCTTTTCTGGGGAGAAAGAGACTGGCACACACTTGCTACCCCCTGGCTGGCCGCTGGGAGGGGGCACCATCCCCAGCTCCCACCTCCTAATTACCCTGGCAGACATAGGTTGTCTTCCTAGGGCGGTGTGGGGAACCAGGGAACAGCAGAACCCGTAATAACTCCATCTGGTCATTCAGCTTCAGAGGGCTTTGCCAGCCTATAGCTGCTCCACTGTACCCCAAACCACTGACGCCCACCCTTCAGCCTCCCTTTGCAGACACCCAAGCTTCCAGACGTGCTCAATTTCAAGTCTTCCCACTCCTGGGACATGCTCAATTTCAAGTCTTCCCACTCCTGGGACAATCACTCCCTGGCAGGCTCCCAGCCCCAAGACAGAGTTTTCCTGACACCAGCCACCAGATGCTCTTCTGCAGGTGGCTGGGGAAGGCTGTCCTGGCCTCGGTAGGGCTGAGGCTTCTCTGCCTCTTTGGGAGGGGCAAGGCTGTCTTATGGCCCTGGGATCTTTCTAGGAGGGACCAGACTTTCCCCTGGGCTGAGCAGCGTCTCTACATCTCTGATCAGATAGATGAGTGGCCATTGCAGCACCCCAGGGAGGGCCCTGGCAGCTCAAGGAAAGGGACCCTTGCTCAGCTCAGCTGGAGTGGGGGCCGGCCTCAGCCATAGTGCAGAGGAGGATGGCAAGGGAGCTCCTGTGGCTGGCTGAGTCCACACACCAAATGCCTTGACCCTGATTCACTGGCTTTGGATTCCTTACTGGGGTCTCCTGTAGAGGCCAACTGCTGATCACAGAAACCCTCAGGAGACCATGATTCGGCTGGAGACTGGCTGAGCTAGTGGGAAACCAGATTGACAGGGAAGAAGCCAGACTGACAGAGCAGGAGCCAGACATAGCGGGAGGAGCCTGGCTTGTCTCAGAGCTCGAGTCCCATAGCAGTTCCCCTCAGAGGGCTGCGAGACCCACCCACCTGTGCCAACCCCACAGACCGGCCTCTGACTGTAACACATTCCACTAGAGGAGATTGCTGGGAAGTTGAGGCTATGCTCTGGAGGTGGGACAGCTGGTCTAGGGGAAGGGATGACGGGTGGTGGAGGAGTCGTGATAGGGTTGGGAGTAGGGATGCTGAGAGTCTGATCATGGAAAACTTATCTTGGAATAGAATCCCCCGAGAAGCCAAAAGCAAACCACGTACACTGTTGGGCTGTCCAGAAAACATCCAGAGGGGCTCCTCCCAGAGAAGCCAAGGAAGTCACATCAGACAGACAGACAGACAAAAACGGCTCTAGGAGACTACAAATCAGACAGACAGACAGGACAACTTGGAATAACTGGGAGCTAGAGATGGAGAGCAGCTGAAGTCCTAGGCCATCTGGGGGGTGGGGAAAGTCTCCCTGCCCCCACCCAGGGGGAGGGCCCCCATAGGCAGGGTGTATAGGCCCCTCCATGAACCAACATTCAAGAGAATCTCCCACCTCCCACCCTCCCTCCCCAGAGCACCGCCAGTCCCCAACCTCAAAGCCCACACCTCCCAGGGGAAGGTGAACAAGGTGAACAGCAAATCTCTTGGAAACTAAGATCATGGGTTTCCTATCATCCACCTCAAACCCTGGAAAATGACCCTATTCCCTTGGAGCCCCAGCCCCTTGAGAGGGCAGCAACCCTCCCCTGCCCACGTCTACCTACCTTCTGGGGTGCTGCTGGGACCACCTCTTTTCCACTCCTTCCCACCTGGAGCTGGGGCTGCAGGTGGGCACCACGCAGCCAGCAGGGGAGTGCTGGAGCATAAGCGGGCATGCAGGCTGCGAGTGGATGGGAGGAGAGAGCACAGCAAACCCAAGGGACAGTCTCTATTGCCCGCTGCTGCCAGGCCTGGGCTTCTCAAGGGTGTGCCATCTATCCTCACTGAGGCCTGGTGCTTGGTTAGGTATCAATAAAATGCTCACTGAATTGAGTTGAATTGATGGGGCTGGAGGCAGGTCAGACAGCTTTTCTCTCTTCTCCCGTACCAAGGAAGGCAGTTTCTAGGAAGGAGTCCCGGGTCATGTGTCTGAACAGTGAGGGTCCATGGGAAGGGGCCAGGGCTCTCAGGGTTTTCCTGTACATCGCCCTGGTGTCTTCCACACCACCACGCTCTCCTCTTCCTTTCTCTCTCCACCATTTCATTCTCCCATTTCTCTTCTTCCTTCTAATTTCCAGGTGAGCCGTGTTCCCTTTCAGGGCATCCTAATGTCCCACTGCATGGAGAACTTCTCAAGTTCTTCTCGAGAACTGCTCAACTTTCCCCACCCCCCTTCTCAACTTGGAAGTTGGCCTTATGTGGCTTTATGTCCCCAGGCCTGGCCAAAAACTTGTCACAGAGGACACCCAAAGCATCAGCCTCCCATCTTCAACATGGCTGGCGTCAGGAGCTCCCATTCCTCCCTCAGCTCTGGATTTAAGGTCCCTTTGGGTGTCTGGCCTCTCTGAGTCCTCCTCCAGTCCTCCTCCGAGCCCTGCCTCTTTCTCTGAACTCCCCTATAAGCAATGCCTTTCATGGGGTGTTTGTCTGTGACCCGAGGTCTCTAGCCACCACTTTTGATCACCGTCTAGTTATTTTCCAGAGGATAAAGGGGGAAAGATCACAGAATAAGTGGATCTTAAATCTGGAAATGGTGCGCATGAGAAGTCTGATGCCCTAAGCCTCCTGTGGCTGTGCTGGTCCTTGCTCTGTGACTGTGGACAAGTCTCTGGGTCCTCCAACCCTTACCCTCCTCTCATCCTTCAGGGACAAGAAGAGCTGCTTAGTCTGGCCCCATTGAGCAGCTGAGAGGCTTGAAGGGATGATAGGTGAATGCCACTTTTGAGACAGACCAAGCCCTTCACTATCCAGGTGAGGAAACTGAGGCCCAGGGGAGTGGAGTACCTCGCCCAAATTCACTCCATAACAGGACACTGAGAGACTAGGCAAATTTCAGGCCAGAATCCAAGGAAAAAACAAGTCAAGAAAAGAGAAATATACAGTGTGGAGACAGACAAACTAGTGGAAAAGAGAAAAGAGCAAGAGAGACTGACAGCACACAGATCGGAGGGCAGGCGGGGAACACAGCATGGGCACAGAAGAGGAGAAACACCAGGGCAGAGAGACAGAGGCAGGTGCGGAGGGAGGAGGCTGATCACAGGATGGAGAGAGAGCACCAGGAAGGGGGACAGGGAGGCAGAGGGCAGAGGAGAAAGCTCAGGAGTGTGGCTCTAAAACCTGACTTCTCAACACACCCATCTCATCCCAAGGCTATCAACTGGGGCAGCCAGGGCTGAGATCCTTACGCTTAAAGTCAGGCACCTGGGCTGACTGGAAGAAGAGCAACTAGGAAGAGAAGTATGAATCCTTGATGTAAGAGGAAGGCGGGACACTATGCATGGGCCGAGTGCACACCGCTGTGTGCCAGGCACCCTACTATGTGACAGACATGAATATCCTCAATCAAATCAATTTCCCTGGCTGCTTAGAAAATTAGATTTTCCACGGGCCATTTAGAAGAAAGGAGCATAAGTTTCGGATGAGAACGATAGGACATAATGACCTTAAAAGTTGGAAATGGCCCATCTGGGGTCCAGAGGGAGCAGAGAGAAATGGAAGTCTGAGGAAGGAGGTGAAAGCGAACAACCCCACATGAGACTCAAGAGGCGGAGGCCCAATAGACAGTGCAGTGGTGCGTGCTTTGCTCTGTTAGGAAGGAAGGTGGGGGTGCAGGAGGGAGGAAGGGCCACAGTTCCCACCTTTGGGAGACCAGGTCGGAGCAGGCGGGCTTCTGCTCGGCATCGGCGGCTGGGCAGCAGAACTGGTGCAGCACGGTCTCATTCCTGCGGGCAGAGCAGAGGGAGATCAGAGCGCCTGAGACAGACTGGGCCCTCATCCCACCTGGTATCAAAGCATTTCTGCCCTGAAACCTTGCTGCCCCCATCCCTGTCCTTTTAAACCCCCTGTGTAACACTCAGGCAGCCAGTCACTGCTACGGGCAAGAGCGCAGCGTTGATTCTCTGTCCATCAAAGTCCTCTTCAGTCAACCATTAGGCTCAATTCAAATGCCACCTCCTGTGTGAAGCCTCCTTGACCTCCTTGGCAACTACTTCTACACCCGCTCCCTGCAGCAGGCTCTTTCATGTGCATATAGCAAATGTCCTGCTTTTTTATCGTAGTTTGTTCTTTACGATCCTGTTCTCCAGCAAGGTCCTGCAACGCAGAACTAGGTCTGTTTGTTTAGGATGCACAGAATTGCATGCAATGAATACTTTGAAGCCGATCATATGCAAAGATACAAAACATTCATACTGGGACTTTAGTGTTGCCAGTTGAAAATCCGAGGAGTGGTGCTCGACGAGGCATTTGGTGTAGATGAAAAAGGCAAACCCAGAGGCAGCGATCTGGGTAATAGCCCCAACCCTACGGTTAGCCGGCTGTGTCAGACATGGCTGACCTTCAGCTGACTTACTAATGAAATAAGGGAGTTGAACTAGAGAAGTGGTTCTCAGCCCCCCTGTATATTAGAATTACGAGGAGATTTAAAAAAAAAACGTATGCCTGGGCCCTCCCCCCAGGGACTCTGAATTACGTGGTTTGGCATGAGTCCAGGTACTAGGACTTGAAAAAAAAACACTCCCAGGTGATTCTAAAGGCAGCCAGGATTGAGAGGCACTAGACTAGAGGATTTCCAAGGTCCCTTCCACCTCTAAAATGCTGTGATTCTAAAATCCACTTTGAGCCAACCTGGGATTTAATATTGAAATTACTTTTGGATGAAGATACACCGACCCATTGCCTTCTCTTCCTTAATAAGCAGTTGCCGTCCTGGGCATTATCAAGTCAGAGAATGTCAAACCTGGAAGGGCCCCCAGAGATCATCTGAAAGGGATTTTCAAAATTCCTTCAGCTTCAGAACACTTTGTCCAAATCAAATCCTTACTGGAAGCCTATTTTGTAAAACAACAAAAGCAGAACAGCTCCATGGCTGGGGGATGGGGCATCTGTGCCACTTCCCAGACCTCCTCGCCCTGAATTTGGTAGCCCCCTCCCAGGCACCTCTTGGGAGCCCAGGGTCTGAGAGTGTAGACAGGAAATGCTGAATTTGGCTATCTGCATGGAGGAAAGTAACACTGGAGGCTATCTTAATTTTTGTGTTGTTTTTGCAGAGACAGAGCTTTGCTCTATTGCCCAGGCTGGAGCGCAGTGGTGTGATCATAGCTTACGGTAACCTCGGCCTTCTGGCTCAAGCAATCCTCCTGTCTCAGCTACAGGCATGTGCCGCCAGTCCCAGCTAATTACAGAAAAACTTCGCAGAGACAGAAGTCTCACTATGTTGTCCAGTCTGGCCTTGAACTCCTGGCCTCAAGCAATCTTCCTGCCTTGCTCCTAAAGCACTGGGATTATAGGCGTGAGCCATCACATCTGTCTGAGCCAACCTTAATTTGACAAAAATAAATTCAGAAAGGTTATATGTTTAAATGAGAAAAATTAAAAGGAAAAAATCAGAAGGAAACAGTAATATAGCTTATGGATTGGGGAGATTTTAAAAGCAAAACAGGAAACTGAGAAGCCATTAAAAAGATAAACATGTCTGACTACATAAAATGAAAAAAAATCTGTATGAAAATACTCAGGGAAATCAAAAGGCAAACGATAGACTAGGAAAATATATGTGCAAAACGTATGACAGAAGGAAGTTAATGCCCTGCACTGAGCTGCAGCACATTCATAGTGCAAAGACAAACCCAGCAGAAAAAAACAAGCAAAGGATAGGGATAGCAATGAGAAATCTAAAGAGCCAACAAATAGGCTCATCAATACTATTCTGCCACACAAACTCACATTAAGAACAGATTCATAGCCAATGGAAAGATGCTTACTAGTAAACAGGAAAATGCAAATTAAAGTCACGCTGGGATGCCATTTCTCATCCATCAGACTGGTTGGTACACATTAAAAAGACTTCTAACTATGAGTCCTGGTGAGGATGTGGGGAGAGGGGTGCCCTGAACCATTATCTGTGTAGATGTGAATTATTAAATGTTTATGGAAATGTAAACCAAAAATAAAATTCTAAGTCCCCAGTTGACTGAATGGACCCCCTTCTCAGCCAAGGGCATTCCAAAGAAACCTGAAAAACTAGCTCAGGCCTTGATGGGCAGTGGGGGCAGGACCTGCCTCCTTATCCCCTCCTACTGTAGGAATTCCGGCACAGCTGACCGACATTAACATTAAAACAAAGATCTTAAGAGTGACAAAACAGACTCTTCGTAGTAGCAATAAGCAATAAGACACAATGTCTAGCAACTTCCAACCTGACTCTAGCAGAGCATCACATGACAGCAGGCCTTGAAAGAAACTGAAGTATTTCACAGCAAAATATATTTCTTTTATATATTTTCAAATGGCCCTGCAAAGCTGTCTCTTGGGAGGAAAATCTACATTCTGTAGAGAATCCTCTTCCCTTTCCAGGTCTTTTTCCTGATCCAGGAGAAAATCAATTAAGTGTCTGGCACCTTTTTAAGTCTGATAAGAAAAATTTACAACCTACTCTCTCTGAAGCCAGTACCTGCAAGCTTCATCTGCATAATGAGAACCTTGGTTTCCACATCCTTATTTTAACCCAGACACTCCCCTCTACTGATTCCAGGTCGATAATAACAACTCTTTCAACAAATTGCCAATCAGAAAATCTTTGAATCTACCTATGACCTGGAAGCTCCGACCATATTCCAAGTTGTCCCACCTTTCCAGATTGAACCAATGTACACCTTGGTTCAATCTCACTTACATAGGTGACAGATGTCTCATGTCTCCCTAAAACGTATAAAACCAAGCTGCGGCCCAACCGCTTTGGGCACATGTTCTTAGGCCCTCTTGAGACTGTGCCGCAGGCCGTGGTCACTCATATTTGGCTGAGAATAAATCTCTTCAAATACTTTACTGAGTTTGACTCTTCAGCAGAAGCATTGTTTTCAGTGTGGTGGTGGTGGAGGGGGACAAATGGAAACAGCCCAATCCCCATCAATCAGAAAATGGTTGAATAAACTGTCATACCTTCAACCATAGCACGCAATGGCGCCACCTATGAAAAAAGAACTAGTTAGCACTCTATCTCTCAGTCCGGATGGATTTCCACAACATACTGTTAAATGAGAAAAGCAAGTTGCAGAGAAATATATGAAGAGTGATTCCAATTTTATAAAATAAACAATGACTCCTCTCACCAAATGCAAATTCTATGCATGTGTACTCTATTTATGTATGAATGCAAACCAAACTATTAACTGGCTACCTCAGCGGATGAAAGCCGGGAAAAAAGACCGAGGTAGGAAAAAGAGAAGGAAAAGCAATGCTTAGGGTAAAATGTTGACTGAAAATGTTAAATATAAATTCCCATGTGTGATATTACTGTAAAGCCATTAAAACTGAATATGAACCTGGATAAGAGCTGGAAGATGCCAGAAACCAGCACATATACTGATGTCATTTCACAGAATAGATCATGGAAAATTTTTATCCTGGACTTTTGTTCATTTAATACATTTTTCATTACGGATGATATATAATCGATAGGCCATAGACTAATAATTAATGTAACAAATATAATTTTTTAAATGGGCAATAAAGAAAATAATTGAATCTGAGCCCTCATTTTACAGATGAGAAAATTGAGGCTGAAGTGATTTGTCTACAGTGATTCCCTGGACAGAATTTCAGGTCAGTCTCCCAGCCCTAGGTTCACGCCTGGGCCAAATCGAAGAATGTTAGAGAACTGTTTGAAACCTAAAGATCTTTTGCTAGCACCCAATGCTTCCTGGCCTGAAGAAAAGGAGAAAATGGAATGGGGAGATGGAGCAGGAGCAAGAAGGGCCCAGAGCCCAGGCAATGCAGGGAAGGTGGACCCAGGTGTGCTGTGCAGTGGAGAGTCTGTACCGCCAGTTCCAGGCCTCCAGCTGCTCCTGGGTCCCAGAGCAGGTTTGGAATTCCTGACAAAAGCCATCAAGAGCATAGGCAAAGAAGCATTGATTGTTCACTACCCACAGCGCTGGCATTTCAGGAAGGAAATTCACCCACCCGGTCATAGGCTGGCATGGTGGTACCTGGGGGGACTCTCTTCTGATTTTGCCTCTGTTTCCCTGAGGCTTCCTCCCAAGGTTGGGAGCCACTCCTCTGTCCATACACTGTGGGTGGGCACTTGATGGTCCTCCCAGGTCCCCAGACTCAGCTGCAGTGACATATGAATGTCCCCAAGTCCTTCAGCACCTCGGGCTTGGGCTGATAGTGCCATTGGGGCTTCTGCCAGTGGGGTCCCTAGGAACAGTTCAGCCAAGTGGAGAGCTTATCTTCCAGTTCTGCCTCTGAGCTCCTCCATCCACCTCCTGCTCCTTAGGCCTCTCAGCCTGGGTCAGAACCCTTCTTGTCTTCTTTTGAGGTTTAGTTCATGCTAAATTGTAAGTCTTGCTTTGCCTGCCTTCGACCAGCCTGGCCACCCACTCAGCCCAAGGTCATGGTCTGTTTCCTGATGTGGGCAGGTCTTAGCTTAAGTTTCCTAAGGTCACACAGCTAGTTAGTAGCAGAGCCTAAACCCCAAGCAGGCTCCTGTCAAGGATCATGCCCATGACTCCTCGTCAAAGGGTTTTTGGCCAGTGGGCATTCATATGTTCATTTACCAAGCCTGGACAGGGAGTTCCTAGCACCTAGCTCAGTGCCTGGTATACTGCTGGCACTTAATGCTTGATTTTGCAAAGAAGCATCACTGCAGTCCCTCCCTCAGGGAGCTCACCAGCTAAGAGAATGCCTTAGTCTATTTGTGTTGTTATAAAAGAATATCTGAGGC